ACACACACACACACACACACACACACACACACACACACACACACACAATTGCTCTGCTTGTTAGTGACATTATAACTAGAATGTTGTGTTTGCCCCTTCCTTCCTTCTTTCCTTCCTTCTTTTCTTTTTCTTTTTTTCTTCTTTCTCTTTCCCTCTCTCTCTTTCTTTCTTTTGAAATGAGGTCTCATTGTTGTAGCCCAGGCTAGTATTAAACTAAAAATCCTCCTGCTCCAGTGCTGGACTTGTGTGCCACAATGCCTGGCTTCTACTGTTTTATTTTCATTCTCCATTACAATGTTTTTAAGCTTTGCTCATTAAAAGCTTTACTCGGGCTGTGGGTGTGGCTCAGTGGTAGAGTGCTTGCCTGTGCCAAACCCTGGATCCTGTCCCCAGTACCTCATGAACTAGTGGTTCTCAACCTGTGGGTCGATACCCCTTTTGGGGGCTGAATGACCCTTTCACCAGGAGTTGTCTAAGACCATCAGAAAACACAGCTATCACGACATGAGGCGCTGTATTAAAGGGATGCAATAATAAGAAGGTTGAGAACCACTGTCATAACTTAGCATTTGGGCAGGAAGATCACAAGTTGGAGGTCAGCCTGGGTTACAGGAGACCCTATTTAAAAAAAAAAAAAGCCAGGCATGGTAGTACACACCTTTAGTCTCAGCACTCTAGAGGTAGACCTCTGGTTCCAGGGCAGCCTGGCCTACATAGTAAACTCCAGGTCAGCCAGGGCTACATAATGAGACCCAGCCTCAGAACAAAACAAAAGTCTCTCATTTCACAGGAGTATTTGCTCTGTTATTTAAAAAATTCAGCAAATGGTTGCTGTTCCATTCCATGGACAGAGGAGCCAGCACCCTGTGAGCCTCACGCTTTTAAATGGAGATCAGTCAGCTAAGTCTTCCCAATAGTCTTAAAGAGGAAGACACCACGGTTGACAGCAGACCTCCAGACTTGGAAGGGTGAAGGACAGGAGTCACGAGTTCCAGTCCAGTGGGGCAATAGCAAGACAGACAGACCTACCTTGACACACTTTGCAGATGTCACACTTTGGCCGTCCACCTGTGCTGGAGTAGGTTCTTGGAGGACAGCTGGTACAGACCGGATTGTGGTTCCTGCAGAAAGTGCCTGGAAGAAGTGCGTCCCGGATGTCCGTGGGGCATCCCACGAGCACCCCTCAAAGCACTGTGACACTTGCAGGGAAATCAGAATAAATGTCCCATCTGTCCTCTAGGCATGGCAGTGACAGACATGTTTATTGACCAGCATTGTAAGACTGCATACATTTGCAGGGTGAGCCCTGGCATAATGTTCCCAGCAAGTAGGAACAACATAGAAACTGTAACAGAGACATCAAGAGAAGAAAACCCTGAATCCGCCGGGCAAGACTGTGACTCCTGAGGGCGGAGGGCAGAGCCCGGGCGGGACGCAGGAGAAGAGCGCTGCCACCTGCTTGCTCCTTGCTGCTGAATGTGGCTCATATTCAAAGCTCCCAGGTACCAGGTGCTGTTCGGAGCAGGGCCTGGGATCTTGCACACAACCTGAGGCAGCTCCTCTGATTGTGCTCAGAAGTGAAGCTGAGGTGCCGAGGCTAAGCGGGCGAGCTGGGTCCCGATGGCCACCTTGTTGTCCCCAACAAGCTTTTGCAGGGGAGGGAGTGGTCTGATCAGGCTAAGCAGCTGTGTTCACCAGTCGGAAAACGCCCGTTTAGTGCTTACCAGCCTCACACTCGTCACAGGCGTTCTGCAGGGCTGTTGTCCTCCCGGTGCCCAACACCAACAGCACAGTTACCACCAACTTGTAACGGTTGTTTCCCATAGCGACTGTCGCATACACACGGCACTGGCAAAGGAGATTCCGAAAGCATCTCAGTCAGATGAGCTGCTCTCTGGCTGGCGGTAGCCGCATTGGTAAAGTGCTGGCTTAACACGAACCAGAATGCAGAAACCCGGGCTGGAGGCGGGTGCCTGTCACCCCAGCACTCAAGAGGGAGAGCAGGAGGATCAAGGGTTCAAGGTCATTCTCAACCACAGAGTAAGTTGAAGGCCAGCCTGGACTACATGAGACCCTGTCCCATGAGAGGGGGCTGTCTCACAAATGTCATTCTGTAAAACAAAGGCAGGGTGAGTTTCCCTTACAGAACCATCTACAAAGACTTGAAACAGTTTGCAGGTTTTAGGGAGCAATTAAGACTGGAATCTTGAGGCTGGAGAGATGGCTCAATGATTGAGAGCACACTCTGCTCTTGAGAGGACCCAGCTTCAGTTCCCAACACCCTTGTTGGGGGACTCACAGCTGTCGATAACTCCAGGGGATCCTATGCCTCTGGCTCTCTGCGCTCAAGTGTACCAACAAACACACAAACACAATTTTAAATTTAAAAATTAAAAAAAAAAAAACTGGAGTTTTATGGAAACAGCAAACTCACAGAGTTCTACCACAGCTACTGGCTTTGTTCCTGTCTGCACAGCCAACAGTGAGATCTCATGTTCTTCACAAATGCAGGGACAATGAAAGCAGGAACCTTAGGGACTTCCAGATCATTGGCACTGGCCTCCAGATTGCAGCCACGCCAGCCCCAAGACACAGTCCAGCTGACGAGTACCAGCTAACGGGTCCCCTCAGTGAGCAGCGGACCTGCTGTTATTGCTTTGTCCTCTTTGACTGGACATTTACTTGGTCTCACTTTGAAAGACCTCTGCAAATTCACTACCACAGTTTCTTAAGCACAGACCTGTAACTTACCAATTTTGAGATTTGAAGCTTGTAAAAAAAACAAAGAAGGCAAGTGGAAAAAAAAAATCCCGAGTCTAGTAATGAAGCTCAGTTGGTGGAGTGCATGCCTAGCCTGAAGCCCTGGCCCTCCGTCAGGCACAAGTGGCTCACGTCGGTAATCCTAGCACCCAGGAGATGGAGGCAGGAGAAGCAGAAGTTCAGGGTCATCCTGGGCTACACAGAGAGTTTGAGACTAGACTGAGCTATACGAGATCCTGTCTCGAAAAAAGAAAGAAAAAGGCGTCTTTACTCCTCCAGTCCCCACCAGTCCCAAGCAGACAAACCTGGTGATCTCAGCAGCAAAGAACCTTCTGCTCCTCCGAAGCTCAGTGAGGTTCTGCCACTCCAGAAGACCACAGGTCAAATACAGGACCTGTGACTCAACTGAGCAGAGCCTCCTGGGAAATCCCCACGCTGCTCTGTGAGGTGGTTAACCTCCCCGCTGCCCTCAAAATCCCCAGAGCCCCAGTCCCCACTTGATAATGCCACTTTGAAGGGTTTCCTAGACAACTTTAGGAAAAGGATTTGGTCACTTAACTCAGTTAGTCCTTTATCCATGCCAAAGCTTATAACGTCTCCTTAAAATATTGGAGACTTAAGGGCTGAGACCATGCTACATGTTTTTGCCACAAACGATCTCCTAAACCATAAAAACCGAGAGCCACGCCTCTTAAACCCAGCACTGAGCTACTCCACCCTGGAAGGGTACCCAGGCGCTAGTCTCACCACTGTTATTGTCTGAATGTCCTCATGCCAATGAGAAGGCTCTGGCTGTATGTCCGGGGGGGGGATCAGCAGGACAGAATGACAAGGGAAGCAGAGTGGTTGCAGCCCTAGGTGATGTTACTGAACAAAGCCCAGAACCATGAGTGATTTTTAGAGAAACCTTGCATTGAATGGGGAAAAAAGAAGTGGAAGAGGAGAGATGAAGAGCAAAGAGGAGGAGGAGGAGGAGGAGGAAGAGAATAGGCAGGGAGGAGGGGGAGGGAAATAGGAAGGGAAGAAGGATGGAGGAGGGAAGGGAGGAGGAGGGAAGGCAGGAGGAGAGGAGGAGGAAGCGGTTGCTGTGGAAATTGATATGAACTTGTCCATCAAGTGACTAAAGATGCTCAGGAGATTACAGAGCCTGCACACAGCAAGACCTTGTCTTTAAAAAGGGTGATTTTTATCTAAAGTAGATGGACTTCCCACTAGAATGCAAATGGCAAGGAAATATTTTTTTCACAAGAGAGATGGAGGCTTGCTCTTGGACTGAGGGATGGGGGAACTGGAAGAGAGCTGACATTTAGTAAAACCCTTATGTACTGAATGCTTTCCAGTTTTACAAGAGGCCAATCATGTCACTGCCCTCCTTAGAAACTTCCAGTGCAGGGAGAGCTGGCTCTGTGGTCCTGATTGTGTACTGCTCTTACAGAGGGCCCGAGTCCAGTTCCCAGCACCCCCAGTGGGCAGCTGACAACTGCCTGTAACTCTAACTCCAGGGAGAGCCAGTGCTCTCTTCTGGACCCCTGGGCACCTGCATTCATGTGTGCACACACGGAGACACAGACACAACATATACATAATTTAAAAATAAAAAGGGCTAGAGAGGTGGATCAGTGGCTAAGAGTTCCTACCTCTCTCACAGAGGACCCAGTTCAGCGCCCAGCACCCATACAAGTGGCTCACAGCCACTTGTAACTCCAGCTCCGGGGGATCCAGGGCTTCTGGCCCCAGCAGGCCCTGGTGTACACGTGTGCCCCCCCCCACGTACACCATTTTAAAACTGTTAAGTCTTTAGAACATAAATCTTTAAAAATAAACTGTCAGTGCTTTCTGTGCTCACACAGAAAACCTGGGCCCTACAGCTCAGGGCCCACGGGCCTCTTGGGACTGACTCTAATAAGGTCTAGTGTCCCATAACATAAATTTCAACATGCAAGGTGTACAAAGTTCAGAAGATGGTAGTATATTCTATACTATGCTATGAAACTATCACCTCTAATTGATCACAGAATATTCCCATCAATCAAAAATAAATCCTGGGCTAAAGAGTTGGCTCAGTGGCTAAGAGTACTGGCTGTGCTTAGAGAGACCTGGGTTTGATTCCCAGCACCCCACACGGCAGCTCACAACTGCCTATAAGTTGTTTCAGAAAACGTGATGCCCTCTTCTGGCTTTTCATGCATTGCATATGTATAACATTCACTCACACAGGCAAACACATATACATTAAAAAAAAATTTTTTTTTTGAGACAGTGTTTCTCTCAATATGTAGCCTTGGCTAGCCTGGAACTCAGACCAGGCTGGGCTCGACTCCCAGAGATCCACTTAGACCTGCCTCTGCCTCCTGAGTCCTGGAATTAAAGACATGTGACACTATGTCTAGCTTTTAAGGAACATTTAAAAAACAGAAATCCCTAAAGCTGGGCATGGTGATACACACCTTTAATTCCAGAACTTGGGAGGCAGAGGCAGGCAGATCTCAGAGTTTGAGGCCAGCCTGGTCTACAGAGTGAGTTCCCGGACAGCCAGGGCTACACAGAGAAACCCTGGGGGCAATGGGGGGGAGGGGGAGGTGGCCAAAGGTCCCACATATGCTGTGCCTCCCTGAAACTAATCTTGCCTCTCAGCACTTGTCATTTCTAGATGTTCGTAAACTATAATTAGCCGATCTGTGGTTTTCTGTGACTGGCTTCTTTCACTTAGCATATTTTCAAGATCCATTTGTGTTGTTCTATGTATCAATACTTCACTTCTTTTCTTGGTGTAGTAATATTCCTTTAGGGGGAAATGGCACATCTGGTTTATCCATTCAGCAGTTAACGGACACTGAGTTGCTTCCACCTGTGGCCTTTACGCCGCCATCCAGCGTGGCATGTGCCGTGTGCACGCCTGAATCAATCCCGGGTGTACCCTGAGGGCGCAGCTCCTGTGCCAAGCAGTAGCTCTGTTTCACTTTGGGACGATTGTTTCTCACAGCCCCATCCGCACCAAAGATTCAAGCCCTCCACACATTAACACTTGTCATTTTCCCACTAAAGAAAAGTGGTGAGCCATTCTGGAAGGTGCTGGGGTGGCAACTCCCTGCTTGCCTCAGGATTCTGACTCACTTGAATCCCAAAAGGGCATGGTGTGGTGATTACAAGCCCACCCTTGGCCATAGTCTGACCTGGATGAATCTAGACTCTGGCATTTATGCAGACTCTGACCTTAAGCAGATTTCTGAACATTCTTAAGTGTCCATTTATCCAATCAGATTTTGGAGTGCAGTAATTCTGGTTCCCACCCTATGTATTGAGGAATAAAGGAAACACACTGATGTGATTTACATAATTCAACACCTGGCACGTGTCTCTGAAGAAAACAGAACTCTCCTGAGATGGGTTTTGAAACATCCCATCTCTGGCCTCCCAGAGCAATCATCAACAAAAGTGCCACAGACCAGGGGTGACAGGAGAGGGCCAGAAGGGAAGTGACCATGTAGGGATGTACCCGGTGAGCTTTTCGGTCATCTTGCTCCAACTTTGGTGACCAGAAGTCTGTCACACCATAACACACAGCTACACCGCCGGCCGGTTCACCTGAGGCTTCAGTGTCCTGGGCTGACCCAGTGCCCTTCTCATCATGTGCCCGGGTGCTGAGCCCCTGCTGCACCGTGACATCTAACTGAGGGCTGCCTACTTCTGCCATCTGTGTGGTTGTGGCCAGAGCTTCCACCACCCCTGAAATGATGTCACTCCTTTCCCACCACAGTGACATTCACAGGCTCCTCTGCCTATGACACACGTCTCCACTGAGCTAAGAGATTCTCAAGATTGGTTTTATCAGCCTGAAGCTAGCTGAACCAAAACAACCACTTCAGCAGTGTTCTATGAAAAGTTTCCTCCGCTGTCACCACATCCCTGTAGTTTTGTGGGACAAATCTCCATGGCAACAGAGGGCGATGACATGAGGCACTGCCCGAGCCAGCAAATAGCTCAGATAGTCATTTGCTTAGCTTTATCCATCTTGTCTTACTAATCTTCCAAATGCAATCCTAAAGAACCCACAAAACTACAAAACCTTCCCAAGTCCAGACACAGAGATCAGCCCTGACAGTATCAATGAATGTGGATACTTAGAATGTGGCACAAGCACATTCTAAGATCCGAGCAGAGACCCGCTCTGTACAATTCTAAGATCTGAGCAGAGACCCGCTCTATACAATTTAGTTGCCCATGTGTCTATGAACATCCCAAGTGAGAGACTCTCAGCCTAGGCAGCATGAGGTCTCTCCTGCTCTAAGGAGCTAAAAGAGAATCTAAGCTCTGTAGAGATGCTAAGCTCTGCAGCATACAGTAAAACCCAGTATTTGGATGTGGTGGCAGGAGGGCCAGGAGTTCAAGGTTAGCCTCAGCTGCATAGTCTGTTCAGAACCAACCTTGTCTACCTGAGAGTCTATAGAGAGAGAGGCAGGGAAGGAAGGAAGGAAACAGGGATTGGGAAAGGGGGACAAACGAGAAAAGAGAGCTAGGAAAAAGAATGGTCCCTTCCTGTGAAAAATGCTTCTGTGCCGTCAGGGGCATTTTAGAAGGCTCTAAGGACTGTTACACCTGTCCTTGTGACCTTGACCCCATCCCCTGAGCAACTGTCCAGTAGGGAATAATCAGTTAAGACATTTATTCACTGGGGATTGGAGAGATGGCTCAGAGGTTAAGAGCACTGGCTGCTCTTCCAGAGGTCCTGAGTTCAATTCCCAGAAACCTCATGGTGGCATGAGATCTGGTGCCCTCTTCTGGCGTGCCTGCATATGTATGTAGGCAGAACACTGTATACATAATAAATACATCTTTTTTAAAAACACATTCATTTCCTTGTGATAGCAATAAAAGCTGACTCAAAAGCAAAAATAAAACAGAACCTGGAGAAAGGAAAGCGAATAAAAATCCCATGAAGGAAGGTGACCAGGAAGAAGGAAGTATGGAGAGGTGAGGTGCTGGCAGCCAGCCTGCTGGGCTCTCCCTGGCTTCTCTGCCCTCCTGTGTGGTGTCCACTGCACACCTGTGGCTCATAAAAACTGACTTCAGAGCAACCTCTGTGTCCCAGTCCCACTGTGCTGAGCACAGAACCCGCATGTCACATCCAGGTACTTATAAGAAATGTGTCAGGTAAGATCTGTTACAAAGAAAGTGCTCTCCAGCCAGGCCCACGGCCACAGACACAGTTAGCAAGTGTCTGCACCTGTGGCTGGGACCTGGCAGGTGACCTACCTGTCACCATCTTGGGAAGACTGGGCTGTCCCATCCTCCACATACAGATGGTGAAACCTACTCCTGTACCACCGACTTTACGTAGAGATGTTCAGGAAATCAT